GTCCCAGAAAGTGTTAACAAACTCAAGACTGCCTTTTTATTTTCCAAATCAATATGATAAATTTGTCTAAAAGTGCACAAGCACCTTGTTTTTGTTGTGACTAATTAACAAATTAACACAACTGCCAGTCTTGAATCAGATTATTTACCAATAATTTTTTCCTGTACAAGGAACTCTAGATCTAGCAGGTGAGATGGCATGAGACAGAGAAAAGCAGAATTGTGATATTTCTCGGAATAAAAACCTTATCTAACTTCAGATTTTGGAAAGTTCAGAGTTAGCGTCTCTCTCTTCTGAACATGTTTGTTCTTCTCGAGCACTACCATTGATTGGCTCTGGCAAATCTTAGAGAAGATTACTGTATTCTAAAAAACAATGGTATATAGATATTGGAAAATAAGTTACGGTAAATTCAGCTATGCTTAACTTTTTTACTCTCACGAGGCTGAATAATGTGACAATCTTTCCATTGCATCCAAGAATTTTGTATCCTGGATCCCTAAATGTGCCAGATTTGGACTTTAAACCCCCAAGAAACTGGTTTGAATTGTACCAATTTGCTTATTTTTCATTTGGCATCTTATAAAACTCAACAAATCATAGTTTACAAATCATAGGGTACAATTACTATAAAGACATTACCATATCTGGGCTGCAAATGTGTGATCATTAACTGGCAGCAAAAGCTAGTGTTCTCTTAATGTCTTTGCTTCTCTGTTTGATGCTTGCCTACATTTTTGCAGATATGTAGATCTAGCCAAGAGTATTCTAAAGAGTAGTCTATACATTCACATTCCTAGCCTAAATTAAAGGTTACATATCACAAAAGAGATAAAAGTAGTGCTTTTGTTGTACCAGTAATGCTGTTGACAAACAACTTGAAGATCACCTGCTCTAGTGTACATAAATATCGTATTGTGGAGTAGCAATGTTACTTATAGTAAATATATTTTATAAAATACTTCTGAGGCCTTTCTTTTAAGCATAATTTGTAGACCAAACCACAGCTTGGATGTTATGCCAATAGTACAGCTTCAAAAATCTGTGACTACTAGCTGACATTTTTAGACTTTTCTGTATCCCATTGTCATGAGCTCATAGTTACTCTGAGTTTTTTAGCCCAGATCCAGGAGCTGTTTGTTTTAGTTTAATGAATTCAATTCGTTTCTCTTCTCATAATTTTCAAGCTGGCATCCTATATTTTAATTACTAGAAAGGATCTTCAATAAAATTTCTTCCACAGCTACCCCCTTTTAACAACATGTTTATTTCAGGACAGTCTACTTCACTCCAACTGATATCACTGTTCTTAGTGGTCCTGCCTTGACTGTTATTTTATCAACTGTCGAAAACTTGAGTTCACAATTGGAGGAATGATGGAATCAACAATAAGGGCAATCTAGGTTGTACTATTCCTATTTTGATCCTTAGATTTTTGGCTTAGCAAGATGTCCTGATACTCTTAAGTCTTCTTGTACTCCCCTTCTTTAACAAACAGGCAAATATTTAATTAGCTTATTAGTAGCTGCTGAAGTAGAATTGTATAACTTTTTATGCTTGTGGAAATTTACCTTAGTTTACAAGCAGTGACTAAGCTTTTTTCAGTGTTGACCTAGGATCCTAGAATCCAATGCAGATTATTCAAACAAGAAAAAGTTCAGCTGAGCAAGCTTTGTTTGCAGGTTTGAAAATACATTGACTTAATTACATGCGAGTGAGGAAAAAAATGTCTTTGGGCAAGGGAGCTAGAATAAACCAATGTTTTTCAAACTTGTCAAACTTCAGGTATGGACTTCAACTCCCAGAATTCTCCAGCCAGAATGCTGTTTGAGAATTCTGGCAGTTGGGAGTCCATGCATTTTAAGAGTTGCCAAGTTTGAAAAATTCTAGAATAAACAGCATAAAGTCTGCCATATTTTTTTTATTTCTAGGCAATTGCTTTGTACAATTAACATCAGAAAGTGTAGGCTAGTAACAGTACTTGTGCTATGGAGTTATTTATAGATGGTTCTATTGCTAGTAGGATGGCAGGAAGAAGAAAGAGTATGAAGCCCTTTGCCTTTCCTATATTTGATGACAGCTAAATCCTCAGGGCTAGAGTTCATATTGTTATTAGCAAAGCCTGTTCCAGCAATAGCACAACCCCACAGCTTAGTTCAGCTGATATTAATTCTGAGTTGGCATTTGACTATGTCCTCACTACTGTACTAACAATTCAACTGGATTGAGTAAGAAATTTAAGACATTTAAAATTTCTTAATTCCCATGCCATCAACTCACGCCCATGAAATATACTACAAACATCAGATTTAATATAGATTTTGTTATATCTAGAACAGATTCATTCAAATCAATAGGACTTAAATTGCCATGAAGTGGTATGTAACTTCAAATTACTGTAACTTCAGATTCATGAACATTTTTCTGAAAATACCTGGATTAAATTGTGGGTTCTTTTTACTTAATTTGCAGCGTGTTCTAATGGATCACATTAATATGACAATAAATGTTTATAGCAGCTGAGGTTGTATTTTAACAAAATGAAACTGCAAAGTCAATTTACACTCCAAAGATATTCATAGCCTTCTAATAAGTTGGATGACCTTGGGCCAGTCTCTGTCTTTCTCCTTCCCTCCCTCCCTGCCTCCCCCTCTCTCAACCAAAATCACCTCACAGGGTTGTTGTTATGGAGAATATAAGAGGAAGAAGGTATATTGAATATATTTGCCATCTTGAGTTCTTGGTAAAATTAATAAAGGCAGGATACAAATAAAGCAATAAATAAAATACAAACACTATTATTCTCAGATATCACTTAGATAATTTTTATTTCAAATTGCATGATTACTTTGCACTATAAGGCTAAAATAGGAAATTTCCCCTAAATCGGGAAACATTACTATGATCTACCAGGAGAAAGTGAAATACTTTTTGCTGACATTATTGGAAAGAAAATGGCTGATGTTGGGCTTTTTAATTATTTTAGTAGTTCACCTCCTGGGGGCATTTTGTTCCCATTTCTAATCTTAAATAGTCCAGAATACAAAAAAGGGAAGAGATCACACCTTAATTTCAGCCATGGGAAGCATGGAGTAGGGCAAGGGTGTCAAACTCGCCATGTCACGTGATGCGTCGTGACATATCGCGACTTTTTCCCCATTGCCGGAGCTGGGTTGGGCATGGTTTCAGCACAACGCATCCAGCTCATGGGCCAGTAATTTGACACCCCTGGAGTAGGACAAGTGCCAACATATGCATAATGATATGACTGACAAATGATAGATACTTTGCATCATTTGCATGATGATATCATGAAGCATGAAACTCTCATCTGGAAATCTAAGATTTCAGAGAAATGTTTTAAGATTGGGATTTAAGGGTGGAACGATTTGTTTCTTGAAGCTTCTGGTCCCCATTCAAGAAAACTGAAAGAAAATGCTGCTACAATTTAGCAATCTTTGCCACTTAATTTTCAGTTGTGCAATGTGGGTGCCACATGCCAGGAATTGATATTAATTTTATATTTAATAGGCCAAATCCTATTTGCATTCATTGAACTATAATTCTATTTTATTAATACACAGAAACTGAAACACTTTTAAAAATAAAAATGTATTATAATTTTATTACTCCTATGGCTGACATTGAGAAAAAGCAAAACACCTTCCAGTTTCAATTAATTTAGATTCTTGTACTTTGCTCTATGAAATGAACAGATCATTAAAAATTTCTCTGGGTAATGTGCGTTTAAACTTGGCACTTTTAAGATGTGATATTTTAAATCTTTCTATATTGGGAGAAACATATTTTATCACATCACTATTTCTTTGTAGAAAGCTAATATTCCATACAGCACTTTTCCAAATTACATTAAAATGCAAATTGGAATGATTGCCTTACATTTCTTTTTACATATTTTCCTTCCATTTCTATTTGAAGCTTTTTTTTACAATAAAATCAATATAATGAAAATCTAGTATATGTTAGTATATTGAAATGATCTATGACTAAAGAGATGAGCATGATCTCTAATTTGTGGAACATTACTGAGCTCCCAAAAATCACAAAGCAAGATTTTCTTTGTAAATCTAAATCATTTGGGGAATTATAGGGTCTGAGCTTTTGTGTTTAATAAAAATCTGGACCTGCATAATGTAACCACTTACCTCAAATATATTCAAAATAACTTTTTTTCTGGAAGACATTTTGGTAATCTCTGTGTTAGCATGGCTCAAAATGCAATGTAAAAATTAAAAAGTGTGGGCAAAATTGCAATGTAAAAGAAAATGGCAAAATTAACATATTATAACAGGAAATACCATGGGAATAACAGAAGAACCGTGGGGAGGAGAAAACTTGAAAGCAAATAACAATAAACTGAAATACATAGCATAAAAAACTGTAGGTTCTCAACAGAGTTGACACAATTCAGTTTATTCAGTTAAGCTGGTGATTTGACCCAGGTTCCGGAACCCTCCAACAAGCACGATGAATAACTTCCCTATTCAGACAAGTTGGGTTATTTTCAGTCCAACGGAAACCTCCAAATAAATTAAAACTGAGCATTTTCTGGGTAAACTGGCAATATTTAGAAAGAGCTAACTATTAGTATTGTTCTAATACTAATTATCAATTATCTCCCGCCTCCCTTTCGTTTTCCCTTTAATCTCCCATCTTTTTTCCGTCCCATCCCTGCTTTCCTCGCCCAGATTACATCGCTAGGCGATTTGAGAGGGAGGAACGAAGAAAATGAATTTAGGATTCTGGGATATGTAGTTTCGTCCCTTTCCCTCTTTCTCCCTCTGTATCTCGCCGTCCCACGCGGAAAAAAAGGCCAGGCATACATTTCCCAGAATGCTGCACAAGAGAGGGAGGGGGGTGTTTAGGGTTAGGGAGACAGAGAGCCGGCCACAGAAGGCGCGGCACTTTGAGTTTCAGGGCGGGTAGCTGGCGGGGGCGGAAAGGCGGGGTTTTTCCTTTGGCGTCCCGTGATCCGCAGGTGGGCGAGCGCGCGAACGATCAGAGTGCCAAAAGGGCGGCAGGAGGAGGCGCTTCCTCCGGCGGCCGCGTGGGGCGCTGGGGAGTCGCTGTCGCCGGCTTCTGAGCAGAGCGGCTCGGCTAGTGTGCGCGCCGGGCCGAGTGACACGGCCTCTGCTGTCGCGGGGAAGGGAAGGACAGGGCGCGGAGAGAGAGCGGAAGGGGGACCGGTCGATGAAATAAACCGATCGGAGGCTGCCCCTGCCGTGTGGAGGTAGGTGGTGGGAGACGCGCGCAAGCAGCCGCCCTGCCTTCCCCGGCTAAGACTGAGCCCGTGAGACGGACGGTCACGGGCAGAGCCGCCGCTGCCGCCTTCCAAGCGGCTGACAATGAAAGTGAAAGGCAGGAGCCGCGGAAGGGGAGGTGGAGGCGGCGGCTGCCGCCTAGGTTGCGCCTACCGCCGCCACCGCCGTGCTGAGTGATTCCGACCCTCCCGGTGCGCTTCTCTCCAGGAGCGTTCCCGAAGAAAGCTGCCGCCTTTGCTTCTGCCTCCTCTTAACATTGGCCGTGTTTTCTCGCGGGGACCCACGAACAGGTTGCCTGTGAACGCTGGATCGCTTCCTTTCTCTCGCCTGCAGCTGCTTTTCGAGTGGGGCCGCGTGGATCCTAGAAGGCGACGGGAGAGCGACGGCCGCTGTGATTCAGGTGGTTTCTTCTGCACAACTCCGCTCCCCTTGGCGTTGAAAAGGGAAAGGGGACTGCTTCTGTTCGGGCTGGCTGCAGGGAATAAGCCCAGATAAAGTAGAAGCAGAAAGCCAAAATCTCTTTGCCGTTTTCCTGGACGGTTCCTGTTGCTACTGCTGTTGTTTCCCTGGAAAACGGGACTAGGATTGCAGTTTGGGGTCTCCCATGGCTTGAAGGAGAAAAGTGGAGCCAGTACCTTTTAAGACTGGAAATTATTTTTGCCTGACAGCCTGAATCAATAATAAAGTGGCCTGAGAACAGCTTTATTTTTCTTTTGTTTCTGCAATTTTTCTCCTTCGAAATTGGCATATTTTTATAGTGGCATATACAAAAATGAAAGACTGGCTTGAAACATGCCATTTCTTGTATCTTTTTCCAGGGATGGCACTGACCACATTTTTATGTTGCGGTTGAAATGGCCTTTTATAATGACAAAGAATAGGAACTAATCTCTTGCCATTGGAAGAAGAAAAAGACCACAGTGAGAGAAAATTGGATATTATAGTTTGTTTTTCAGTTGATGAACTTAGAGTTGGTTATTGTTCAGAACAATTCATACAAATTCTATTTTTAAATTTTTTTATAAATCTTTGTGAGGAGGATTTTGATTAAAAACTGCCTGCCCCAAACCTGACTCAAGTACTTTAAAAGTGGAACATGAAGTAAAACTGGGCAGTTTCTTAAACAGAAGACAGAATGCTTTAAAGTTATAAAGTTCTCTGTTTAATTGACAATTGTTTTTATATCTAAGTCTTTTTCATTAATATTTTATTCTATAATTATGCACTTTCAACTTTGTTTTTTATTTAATTGTGAAAAAGGGAAAGATTACTGTACTTATATTTCATAAATGATAGCTTTGAAATCTTTTAACAGTTAATTGGGAATTTTAAAATGCCATGATAAACTTGTTTTAATAAAATACCCAATAGTGTCTTCTTCAGAAGTTTTAGGCAACAATTGCTGGAGGGATTCCTCCTTATTCTCCATTAATGAGTCCTGGTGGTGGTGTCGGAGGACCCATGACAGACTGTGAATACAGTCAGATCAGCACTCACAGCTCCTCTTCTCCTATGGAGTCCCCCCATAAAAAGAAAAGCGTTTCCAAGAGAAAATGGGAGATTTTCCCTGGAAGAAACAAATTTTTTTGCAATGGAAGGATCATGATGGCTCGGCAGACTGGAGTCTTCTACTTGACACTTGCTCTTATTTTGGTTACCAGTGGACTCTTTTTTGCATTTGAGTAAGTGCCATTAAAAATATATATTTTTTCTTTTTTAACCTGTTTCTTACTAATAGAACTCTACAAGAATTCAGGTATCTCATTGATGCTAGGTTGTATAAATGATTTATACTGCATTCATGATTTATATATTTAATTTAATTCTTGAAAACTTTGAAGTTTAATAATTATCAGTTTGGTATGGTCTAGAGACAGATGAGATTTCAACTCCAGTTTAAAAGTCATGCTGGTTTTTTACAATGGAAAGAAGTCTTCGTCACTATTCATAAAATGTTGGGTTAGTCTTTAAAATGATACAGAATTTTAAAGTACTAATTTTCACCGAAGAATGTACTAATTTGACATTTCATAAAGTTCTATTAAGGCAACTAGATATTTATGCTTGAGAATACTTCCTCAATCAATGTAGAAGCTATATTTTTCTCCCGTTCTAATCAAAATTTTCTATATTAAGTTATATATATCAGGTTAATAGTTTGTCAAGAGGCATAATCCATGAAGTTATATGGTAGGTTGGATATCATTTGTATGGACTACCTAATACATGGTCGGTTTGGTTTTTGCATGAAGTTGCTAACTCATTAAAGAGATAAAACTATTTAGGCTAAAGATATTTCATAATATCCCTTTTTCTTGACTGTTTTTCTGTTCTTCCCTCTGTGCTGTTAATCAGTACAGGTTTCCGTTTTAAAAGGGGAAATAATATTTTCTCCAGATGCACTTGCACATGTCAATATGTTACGTCCTTGATATCTCAAAGTTATATTCATGATAATAGAGTAAAGAAAAGTTAATATGTTGTAAATTTACTTTGCAGACATTTTAGTATATATTATATATGTTGCAATAAAAATAAATAAAATTTTCTAATACAGGTAGTCCTCAACTTACAGCCACTTGTTTAGTGACTTTGAAGTTACAACAGCACTGAAAAAAATGACTTATGACCGTTTTTCATACTTAAGACCATTGAAGCACCCCATGGTTGCATGATCAAAATTCAGATGTTTGGCAACTGACTTACATTAATGATAGTTGCAGTGTCCCAGGTCATGTGATCACCTTTTGTGCCCTTTTGACAAAGTCAATGAGAAAGCCAGATTTACTTAACAACCATGTTGTTACTAACTTAACAACAGCAGTGATTCACCCAACAACTGTGGCAAAATGGTCGTAAAATAAGCAAAACTCACTTAACAACTGTCTTGCTTAGCAACAGAAACTTGAGGTTCAATTGCAATCATAAGTCAAGGACTATCTGTATATATAGGTTATCCAATATATATAAATACATGTTCTAACCGCAAGGAGGAATTTTAAATAAATACAGAAATTGTATTTATTATGAATCTTGATAATTAAATGAAATTACATTTGGATAATCCATTTAACAAATTGTTAATGCATTATGATGTTTCCTCATCTCATTTAAATCATAAATTATTTACACTTGGCATAAAAGAGTAGCAGCTGAAGTTATATCCTGAAAAACATCTTAATTGGTACAATTGGATTGTACCAGTTATATTATTGGATTGTTCTGAAAAAAAAATAGCCTTGCCTGCAGATGAGGTTTTCTACAGGAACATTTTTTTTATAAAATGAAAACACAAGTGAGTGGGTTTTTTTACATAATCCTGTAATGATAGATAAAAATAGTGTGTCTTCAATTTTATATTCATTTATAAAGTGATGTGATTAAAAAGAAGGCAAAGCTATTGAAAGAACGTTTTGATAAATCAACCTTCCTTTTGTTCTTAACCAAGTTACTGCATAAATGGTAGGCAAATTTTCTGTCTGGTGCTGTATGCAGGAACTGAAAGAGTTCTCAGAGATCATGATCTCCATCTGAATAGTAGTTAGTGGAAGTTACTCCAGATTATTTTATGATCAGTATATGTCAGTGGTGGCAAACTTATGGCACGGGTGCTGGAGGTGGCACTCAGAGCCCTCTCTGTGGGCATGCGCGCCATCGCCCCAGTCCTAGGCCTTCAGCTGGATTTTATAAAACCTTTTTGCTTTAGGCCTCCACCGCCATGTGCAAAAAAAAAAAAAGGTTCAATCAATCAGTCAATTTCAACTTCTCGCAGAAAAAAAAAGATCTTGCAAAGTTGGAATTGATTGATTGAACTTTTTAGTCCCACCCAGTCTGCCATTACCACTGCAGCCACCTCCACCCAATGGGCCACACCCAGCCAATGGGCCACACCCATCCGGCACTCAACGATGCATAAGTGGGTTTTGGGTTGCAGTTTGGGCACTCGGTCTCTAAAAGGTTTGCCATCACTGGTATATGTTGATACTCATTCTCTTTGGGGGTGGGATGCATTTATACAGAATTGTGATAATTACATATTTGTTCACCCAGATGTTTCTTTCCCATCACCTGTATGTTAAAGCAGGATGGTGTAAGCAATCTTAGCTACAAATCCTTATCCACGGAAAACTATATTGATCCAACAGAAAGAAGAAAGACAAACGGTATTCAGCTGCTGGAAGCTGTATTTGTTTCATTAATTTTAGTTTATTATTTTGAACATAGATTCATCATTTTAATTTATTTCCTTCAAAGAGAAAAATTCAGTATTTTTCAGAACAGTTGCTACTTTTTCAGATAACAAGGCACAGTGCAGGAAAAAAAATACTTTTCTTTTAAAAGAAACTTATTTTTTCAGGAGCGCACCATAGAATTTTTTTGTGAACTACTTTAGAATTCATTTGAAAAGTTATACAATAGAAGAGAAAAACAAAATACAGGTAGTCCTTGACTGACAAACCACAACAGTGAAACAGTTGTTAAGTGAGTTTTGCCCCATTTTATGATCTTTCTTGCCACAGTTGCTACGTGAATCACTGCAGTTGTTAAATTAGTAATGATTGTTGAATGAATTTGACTTCCCCATTGACTTTGCTTGTAAAAAGGTCACAAAAGGGGATCACAGGACCCTGTGACACTATACAATACAGTATCCTGCAGTATATATAGTATTCTCTTAACAACTGCCCTCTGAGCAATTTTTCAACAAAGTTGGAAAAAATAACTTTACAACTGATCTTGCACTGACAACTGATTGAGATTTGAGCACTTTGCAATTGGGAGGTGTTTATGACCATTGCAACATCCTGCAGTTCTGTGATCATCATTTGCGTGATTCACAGTAGGCTTCCAACAAATAATGTGATGTCTCATTTGTCGATCATGGCAGAAGTGAGGTCATAAGCTGTGGTCATGTGATATCTCACTTAATGACTGTATCACTTAGTGACAGGTTTGCCGGTTTCAATTGTGACCATTAGGCAATGACTACCTGTATATGGTACTATTTTTTCATTGGAAGTGCTGATATAAACTGTTACCAGTTGAAGTGTCCTAATATTAAATAGTCTGTAAATTACTTTTTGTCTAATTTATTATATTATTAGTACAACGACTGGACAATTACAATTGTAGTTTCTATGAATATTGTGGGAATCCCTATAAAATTTATGAGTATGGGAAAACTATTGCATGAAGAACCGGGTTCAAAAATAAGTATGGAAATATAGAGATAATTCTATGATGTATTTTTGTTACATAACCATGGGGAAACTTTTCTAGTTTCCCTTGGGGTTGGTATATACAGTACTTTGAAACTGTGTACATAAGAAACCTGTCAACAGTTATTAAAATTTATTTAAAGTCTCAAGTATCTAACAAAGTAGAAGTACTCTAGATATTGTATATTTCTGTTTTTTTAAAGTGGGAAGCAAGAATTCAAATACTTTAAAGCAGTGGTTCTCAACCTTTCTAATGCCGCGACCCCATAATACAGTTCCCCATATTGTGGTGACCCCCAACCACTTATACATCACCGGGTGCCAGGGGCGTGGCCAAAGAAAAGGGGGAAAAATGGCGGACAGCCTTGTTTGGCGACCCCCGTGAAATGGTTGTTCGACCTCAAATGGGGTCCCGACCCACAGGTTGAGAACCACTGCTTTAAAGTGACTTCTTTTACATAGTTCAGAGTCATGCATATGCCCCAGAAGAATTAGTTCAAAACCAAAATATTTTGGTATTTCTTATACTGGTAAGAAAACAGAGACCTGCCAAAATAAATAATTTTATATCTACATCGAGATGTTAATTATTAAATATTGATATATTATTTAAAAGTTACCTTGCCCATATGTAAACATACATGATTGGAATCACAAAGTATGACCCATTATTAAAAGGCTGCTATGCAAAATCCCAGTTCCTTATACAGTTTAAAAGTTATTAAAAGAGTACTATGTACAACACAACTTGCAATTATAATAGAGCACTTTATTAGTATATAGTAGTATATTTTATCACACTTTAAGAATTGAAAGCACAAAAGGAAATCCCATTTTCAAACCTTGTTTTTGGCTAATACTGATACAAAGTACTTGGTAAGAAAACAGTCCTAAATGTTAACATGTTTTGTTGATTTAAAAAAATTATTATATATATACACATGTAGATAAAAACTTCTATCCATACCCCATAACTCTGGCTGTCTTACAAACAACGATGGAGACAGTAAAAATATGTTCATATGGTTAATTTGAAAATAATTGGTAGATATAAGTACCTTTTTTAACATCAACATTTAAAAAGCACTCCTTCGTATCCAAGTAAATCTATTTTCTGTTACACAATTAATATTTGTTCTTTGCCATAATTTAGTTGAGTATATAATGAGTTCTTTTTAGTTGTTCTGCAATCCAGGTCACAATGCAAATAGTTTTGCAAATCTAGGACAACATGCTGATATATAATCAGTAACTCCATATTTCTACAATAGTTAGAAAGTGGCTCTTAAAACAGAGAAATGTTTCTGTTCAAAGTATTGATATAATTGCTGTAAGACAGCTTAAATTCTCATTGGGCATGTACAAATGCAGAAGATGCCAACATTGCTATTTGGGTTGTTGCCTGCTTTTTACATATCCTATACTTTTTTTTTATAATTGTTGAGCTCCACTGTAACAAAGTA